TGACTGTTGCAATTGTGTTATAATTGATAGCTGGATGAAAGATATGGATAATGGGAAGGTTGTTGGCGTAGTGCTTGCTGATGTCAGGAAAGCGTTTGATAGAGTCAATCACCAGTTGCTGTGAGTAAGTTATTTGATTGTGGGATTGGCGACTCGGCTCTGGCATGGTTTAAAAGCTACCTGAGTGATCGAACGCAGCAGCTCATTGCACCAGAGGGCCTGCCACGCGTTTTAGGGCCTGTCCTATTCAGCCTCTATGTCCGTGGTCTCCCCTCCTGTGTGGACAATTCCACAGTTCTGCAGTTTGCGGATGATGTGAATATGTACGCAGCTGGTGACTCTGCTGAGGAAGTCATAGGAACGTTGAACGGAGATCTGCTCAAGCTGTCTGCCTACCTGAAAGGGAAGCGCATGGCGCTGAACCCAGCAAAAACGAAGTTCCTCCTCCCTCACAGACAGACAGCAGCAGTGCCTGGTTCCGCCAGTGTCGTCATTGACGGCATCCATGTTCTTCGAGCGCAGTCCGCACGCTATCCTGGCATTGTTATTGACGAGCATCTGACTTTTGGGTCACCAATTGACAGCTTAATCAACAGCTTAATCAACAGGAAACTCGGTGCCTACCGCATGTCAAGATATCTCTTGCCATTTCACGCACGGCGTAGCTTTTATCTTAGTGTCATTCAGTCGTCATTGGAGTATGCAAGCAGTGCTTACGTCCACACCCTTAGTTCTTACTATTTCAATAAGTATGTCCGGCTATTTAACAGGCGCCTAGGAAAAGTTTTTGGTTTCGATAACTTCACCAGTGCCTCACATATTCTTAGCCTTTACAACCTCTCCCACATTTCCGTCCGAGTCAATTTGAAGCTTTTTATTCTTGAACTTCGCTCTGTCCATAGCGGCACATGCAGTTCTCTCCTACAAGAAATTTGCCATACCCGCTCCTCTAGTGGACACACTACTGCCGTCACTAGGTCCCAAATCTCTTTTACTCTGGCCTTGCCTTCTGCCTTCACTAAAGCTGCTTTTCTCGTCTTGGCTACATAGGTTCTGGTCAGTGGAACATGCTGCCTTCCACTGTTTAATAATAATAATAAAATAGTAAGTTGGAAGGCTGTTGGTGTGCGCATCCAAGATGTGCTAGAGTTGTTAGCCAGCTAGTTGTAGAAATACAGTACCGTTGGTCAGTGTAGTAGTAGTAGTAGAATTTATTATTTTTGATAGGGAAGGCCCGTCGTGCAATGTTATGGCATGAGCTGATTGTTTAGTAACTGGTGGTGTTAATGGCCATTATAGCGTAACTTGTAGTTTAGTGGTCCTTTTTTTCTTGCCTATAAATTTATACTTGGCTCTCCGTCCGATCCATTATGCCAGTACTATTATAATCAGAGCCTTCATGCTAGGAAATCATAAATTATCAATCTAGAGTACTTGACTACTTGTCAACATTTCCTATTTTGTGCAGGCTCCTTGTTTGTAAATATTTTCTCAAATGTGACTTATAATTTTTTTTATTGCATTCCGTGTATTGACCCTATTGTGTTCTATTCCAAGCAATGCTATTGAGGTAGTAAGACACCTCCGATCATCATGAAAATTTGTACACAGCTAGGTCTGGGCCTTGGCTACTTCATTCCAAAGCAACACTGTTAGTATTTAATCTGCAAGATACCTAAATTAGGAATTATCACTTTGGTTGCTATGGTAACACTCTTCAAGAAGTATTTCGTCGATTTGGTCAACAAAGCCCCATGTTTCTGGGCAAGAGTACATGAAAATGTTTTCATGTACTCTTGTTCTGGGTCAAGTGACACAGATCCTGAAAGCTCTACGCATTCTCTATCATTTGCACATGGCAAAACTTTGTCCCCCTTGAACGGGAGCGAAAAGTCACTTTTTGGCACCTTGGCATGTGGACTAAGGCCTCGGTCACACTACGGCAGTTTGAAGCTGGACGCAGCGTCAAGCCGCAGCACTTGACGGAGACGCGGGGTCACACAGTGTTTTGTTTTTTTTGCAGCTCATGACTGCCGCGGCTTGACGCATTTGTCTACGTCACAAAACCACCAGGAAAACTCAATGACGACACGGATTCCCACGGAAACCGGCCTTTTGCTTATTATACAAAACAACTGTCGGACAAAGTTTTCGAATTTTTCATTGATTTTTGATTACAAGAAGACGACAGGTACTAGGTCCACGCGTGCACGATCGTTGTTGTTTCTTTCCGAATTTGAAGCCATTTTCAGTTGTAGTGTCATTGATCAGGCAAGAAAAGTCCGCATCGCAGCTGTGTTTCTCCTGACTTCGTCATACTGGTTGTCCTTTTTGGGGCTCTTGACGACAACACAACACTCACAAGTCAACAGGCTCCAGTTGGCCGATGACCCACTCAAACAACTGGTCCTTTCTCGACATCATTTTCTTCTCAGAAAACGCCTCGCTCTTCCGCCAGGTTCGGAGCAGAGCAGCCTCGGCCTCGTAGGTCCACGGACTCATCTCGAACAAAAAGAGGGAACAAAACAAACCTTGAACAGACGAATGTCGAATAACTGCTCAACTCAAGCAAAGTGTCTTGAAACTAATTTTACTTGAAAGACACTGT